CAGTGCAAGCGAAGCAGCCAGCATTGTCCACTGGCAGAGGCAGGAGCTCTGGCAGAGGCGGGAGCACCAGAGGAGGTGGGAGCACTAGAGGAGTTGGGAGCACCACAGGAGATGCGAGCACCACAGGAGGTGGGAGCACCACAGGAGGTGGGAGCATCACAGGAGGTGGGAGCACCACAGGAGGTGGGAGCACCACAGGAGGTGGGAGCATCACTGTGCCCTCAGGTCTGGTGCTGTCCCAAGAGCTGGGGGAAAAATTCCTGAGAACTGAACCACACTTGACCTAAACTTAGAAAGCAATGCAGCAAGTGTCTACAGAGGCGATAAGGAAGGAGTCTCTCCACAGGATGCCGGGCATTGAATCCCCACAAGTGCCACCGTCAGGGACCTGCAGGTTCAGTGGAGACTGTGCGGGCACCGGAGCCCTCGCTTCTGTGTGCAGAAGCATTTCCGCCCAGCTGCCTGGTGGGAGCGTGGCAGAAGATTTGGAAGGATGGGTACGTTCTCCAAGAGGAGGAGCAGTATCTGGAGAGAGAAACGACCCACAGACCTTCCAGGTTATTCTGCATGTGGGATTGAAGAGCCCCTGAAACCATGGGCATTGCTTATGGGATAACATTAACCGGTTTTGTGGGTGGGTTAATTCTCTTCTGTCTCGGGGGCTGTCTACATTGTTTACGCTCACGGGTGAATGGCCACTGTTTGGGTCTCGTCTGCATAGCTCCCCTGTGCTCACACTGCCTCAAGTGTCCTTTTCTTCAGAAATTCCACCTAGCAGTTTCCGGGCTGCTCAGTGAGCAGGACCTGGGCTGGAGTGGTGGTGGGGCAGTGCCAGGGAGAGGGCCTTGCTGAAGTCGGGGCCACCCGGGTGAAGGGAGATGTCAGGGAAACCGGCAGGGCTGGGAAAGAAAGCGGGGGCCGGCGTGGTCAGAGCTCGGAAGCCCTGAAGTTTCTCTGTGTGGGGCCAGCTCAGAGGACACGCTGCACACCAGGCGCCAGCAGACACCTCCCGTGTGGAACAGAGCTGGCCAAATATCCCTGGAAAATTTTACCCTCAAGTCGCACGCTACTCCCGGTAAATCAACCATGACTAGATGTTTCATGACCAGCCAAGGCCATTCACAGGGTCATACCTGTCCCTTGAGCCAGGCTGCCGACAGAGCAGGTAGTTCGACTCCCTCAAAAACATGTGAAGAAACCGATGCGTTTAAGAAATGATGTTATCAGTTGAACAAGAAGAGTCTCCTTTCTTTTTTGAAGGATAGAACTGTCTAGAGGGAGAATATGTAGATACAAACATGAGACAGCAAATTACATAAGAACCTCCCGATAAAAATGGCTTCTGCACCCAAACTGATGTATTGGCATAGATCGGAGTGGTGAGGGGGAGGGGGCAAGAACCAATGTCCCTTACACTTGAAACCTGTTTCTACACCTGATGCAGCAAACCCATTGCCTCTGTATTCTGCCTGTTCTGCAGGACTGAACTCAGCCCTGCAATGCTGTTCAATTTCTCTCTGCCGCATCAGCTCCCTAAGAAAGTGCCAATAATTTGGAACAGGGACTGAAGATGCCTTTCCTGATATGACATGGAGAGAAGCCCGGAAGCCCTGGTGCTGGGCATAAAGGCTGCCCAAACATCTGGGAGGTGGCAGGGGCCTCTATTGAGACTTGATGTGAGTTAGACGTTGTTTAAAAGAGCAGGTGAATTTTAAGAAGCGGACTCTCATGCTTCATGCTTGAGAGGGCACCATTCCCTGAGACAGGTCCAGAAGGTAACAAAGGTAGCTCTTGCCTGGGGGTGTGGCTGGAGCCATGGGGAGTGGAACAGGCTGGGGAGACCGCCCAGGTGGACCGTCTAGCTTCTGGAAGCATCACTCACTTCCACCCACAGAATTCTTGACTCGTTCCCCCAAAACTGGAACCACCAGCAAGAAGATAGAGATGGATTCTCAGCATTTACTGTTGTTCGCATTTCCCCAGAGTTTCTAAAGATCCAAACTTCAGCCCACCTGTCCAGGAGAAATGGCCTGATTTTATCACACAGGTGAGATGTCTATGCCTGTCAGCAAAGGCCTCATTCTCAAGAAAACAATCTGATTGACATATTTTCTCACCCATGGAGTTTCCAGTGAACTCAGAGTGCAAGCGAAATGCCACAGTTGCCCAACCCCATGAGCTAAAATCAATGAGGAGCTCCAGCACAGGTCTGTGTGCGGCAGGCAGGAAAGGCTGTGCATGTGTGCGCTGTGTTTTCTCCGCTCCCTGGAGGGTAAGGGTTATGCACCCCAAAGCCACGCTGGGCTGGGCGCTGGGGCCTGAGAAGACTGTCAGCATCTTGTGAGTTGTGACTTCTCCTCTGCTCACAGGCCTGGCTGGAGAGTGCAGGAGATCGATACAAAGGAGTGGAACCCTTTGTATGTGGCAAAGAGAAAAGCCATCGATACGCCCAAGAAGCTTCTGCACAAGCGCATGAGATGGCCGAGACGCGCAGGCACCGACTCCAGCATCCTTGAGAGATGGGGGCTGTTTTCCACCTGCCCTGCCCACAGGTCCATGTTAATTCAAGGTTTACGGGGCTCAGAAAGCAGGAAACGATAATTAGATTCAGTAAATTCCCATAGGGCTCCCACAGGGAGGGATGAACCCATGGAGGGAGAACCACGTGTGGGTCAATCTGCTCTTGTTTTGTGATCTCTGTTGGTTCTTAAAGTTCATGGGTGTAACAAACAGCATTATCACTTACCGGAAAGATGTAAGATGGCAGGAATAAAATCCATAGTGTGAGAGTCCTCTACGAGCTCCAGGATGGAGACGGGCCTGCAGTAGTGGCTCTCACCCAGTCGGAGGGCTTCTCTGTGCGCTGGGGAGCTGTGTACTGAGTGCAGGATGTTAACTGTGCACACTCGTTGAGAGCCACTGTTTGCCAGGCACTGTGCAGCTGCTCCATACATGCTGTCTGTGACCTGCAAGACAATGCCACAGAGTACGTATGTTACTCATGATTTGTAGCTGGGGAAACTGAGGCTCGGAGATGTTCAGTTTTGCCAAAGGTTTCAACACTGTAAGTGGCAATGCGAGGATCTAGACAGGGTGAGACATGCCCAGCCCAAGAGTCTTCTGTTCTCGCCCATGGCTCCTCTCAGAACCTGCGGCAGATGCCCCGAGCCACTGTGGCTGGCAAAGCATCAGCGTTGCTGGGCACCCACCGTGCACCCTGAACTCTGCAGGCATGGGGAGCTGTCATCCCCCAACTTGCATTGGTTTCCGGGTCCCGCCTCCTCACTTTGCACCTGCTCTTCCCTCTCCTTCCCCACCACCCACCTGGGAGCTCTTCCTGCTTCAGGACTTGAACGGAGCAGCTCTGTTTCCTACCTGCACACCTGAGCGAGTTCCTGAGCCTGTGTGTGCCTGTTTCCTCGTCCGTGAGATACAGGGACATCCGCCATGGGTATCAGTGGAGACTGGGCCTCTAGAGCCTCCTTGACACAGCAACATACCACCGGCTCTTACTGCCTTGTTCTTGGTGTCAGAGGCCCTTGGTCTCTCCCTACACAGAGGAAAGAGCCCCATGCCAGCTCCCGCCACCTGGATTAAATGGCTCACCCTTCTGCTGTCTGCACCAGATGATGACCCTCCTGGATAATTACCCAGATTCCCCAGGTCCATACCAACAGAAAAGAGAGCCTCCCTCTACTCAATGAAACATCCATGCCTGTGCGTGGCAGCGCCACTGTGAATGCCTGTGAAGTGAGTGGCTTATGCTGAGTACCCAGGCACGTGGTCATCCCATGCAGTGCAGATGTGCCAGGCAGGATGAAGTTGTGACAGACGGGCTCTCTGCAGGGCTTGCCATCAAGGGCCAAGTCAGATCACACAAAACGATGACAGCCGTAGCAGTGGGCCCAGGGCCAGGGGTCTGCCAGGGCTGGCCATGAGGAACTCGGAAAGGAAGGCTGCCCAGGTGTGGCCTGGCCCAGAAGAGCCCATGGGAGCTTCATGGAAATGGAGAATTTGGAGTTGGTGGAGAGAAGAGATACAGAGGAGCAGCCACGGGGCGTGGCACGGAGGCCTCAGAGGCACCCCTGCAGCTCCTCCTGTGGCCTGGATCTGATCCCGGGCTGCAGCCCAGGAGGCCCGTGGACATGGAAGACGGTGGCTGCAGGGAAGAGCCTGGCATGAGAATCGGCTGCTTCTGGTGGCCTCGCCCTTGAACCCATGATGAGGGAAGAGTTGAAAGGTCCCTTGAGCACAGTGAGTGGTGGCCATGGCTGCCATTTCCTGCTTCTCCACCAACCTGCAGCTCTCCTTCCCTTCAGCTCTCACTCAAGCATGACCTTCATGAAGCCTTTGAAAGTCAGCTTTGCCCTTCCAGGACTCCACTGCACCCTCTCACAGAGCCTCTCAGTTACCCTGGTGCTTCTGTGTCGATATCCTGATAGTGTTTCCCTAGCATGGTTCCCAGAAACTTTCCCTGGCAGCCCACCTTCAGCGCCCAGCAGGACTGGGCTCCACCATTGCCCCTGACATGTTCAGTCACAGGGTGACTACTGTGATATGTTCAGTGACGGGGTGACCGCTGCGACATGGTCAGTGACGGGGTGACCGCTGTGACATGGTCAGTGATGGGGTGACTGCTGTGCTCCCCCACTAGCTTGTCATAGCATCAAAGATCAAGTCATTTATTTTTATGTCCCCAGAGCTTGGGAAAGTGCTGACAAGTCATAGGTGTTCAGTGTTAGTAATAAAAGATATTACCGTTAAATAGTTCTCTTATTTAACTAATATTATATATATATAACTATATATTGTATGTAACTATATTATATAGTTAAATAACTATTATATATATAACTATATATTGTATATAACTATATTAAATAGTTAAATAACTATATTAATATATAACTATATTAAAGTTAAAAGAACTAATATAGTTACTTATGTATAATATAGTTAAACAAAAGAACTAATGAATCAATGAATGAATGAATAAATAAATGAGCAAAGGTATTCCACCTCCTCGGGGAACAGTGGGTTGTACCAGTGATGTTGCAGCAAAAGAAACAGAAACCCCCCGGGCCTCCCAGGCAAGCTGAAGGCACTCTGGAGCAGGGCTGGCAGACGGGGCGAGCTGAAGGCCCTCTGGAGCAGGGCTGGCAGACGGGGCGAGCTGAAGGCCCTCTGGAGCAGGGCTGGTCTCCCGGGCGAGCTGACCCTCTGGAGCAGGGCCAGCAGACAGGGCGAGCTGAAGGCCCTCTGGAGCAGGGCCGGCAGACAGGGCGAGCTGAAGGCGCTCTGGAGCAGGGCTGGCAGACAGGGCTTTGGTGGGACCTCCAGGATGCGTTCTAAGAACCCCAAAGACGTGACCTACCAACAGCCTTTGCCACAGGTTGAAAATGCAGGAGCAGGAGCACCACAACCACCAGATTCAGGTAAAGACACACAGGCAGGACCAGGGAGCTGCAGATGCCACTCAGCCATTCAGCTGGGCCTTCCCACCTTCTCCACAAATCCTACTCCGCAGCACAGGGCTGATGGCACAGGAGCGGTGCTGGGAGAGTTTCTGAAGGTGCAGCAGGACATGGCTGTACGCAGCAAGGAGATGGTGCCCACTTTGCTTCTGCTTTCAGGTCTCCACAGGTAAGAGAAGCTAGTGGGGAAATGGAAGTGGTGTGCAGAATCCCAGCTGCAGAGGGGTCAGGAGCCGGGACTCCTGCGAGCTCTCCAGCCTCAGAGGTCGAGGAAGACACACTGGACAAGGAAAGAAGGCATGCTTTGTGAAAAGGGCCATTTCCAACCCAATGTGTGTACAAATGCACACAGCGCACAACCTCATAAGCAGAGCCCTCCATGTCCTTAAACCTGGAATATCCCAATACTAAAGAGGCTGGTTCTTCCTCGCACTCCGTCTGAATTCATAGTAATGGGTGAGGCATTAATTCTCACAGGCCCAGTAGATACCAACCCGTTTGGGCAGATATGGGGGTAGCGACTGTGCATCTGGAAGTAGTGCGGCCCTCTCCTGTCTGCACTCACAGCTCATTGGCACAATGGCCGGAAGCCCAAGTGACTGTCGCCTCTCCCCCACTTCAGGTGTTCCTGCTGTGGCCTCTTCTCTGGAATTCTCCTCATGACCCATTAAAATCAAAAAGCAACACCAGGAATCATTTCTGATGTTCTGAGTCCAAATGGAGACAGGCCAGCTTTCGTGCATTCAGGACTGCTAGGCAGAGGAAATAGCTTGGCTGGCGGGTGAATCTCAGCCTGGGCCTCAGGCCTGCACACTCCAAATCCCACGGGAATCCCAGGCTCTTACCTAGGGCAGCTCTGTGGCTGCTGTTCCGCCTGGAAGCATCCTCTGGCACACTATCTGGTCTCGGGTTCCACTGCTCCCAGATGACCTACACACCAGCTCATTCACCGACCCTCTCCGGGGGACTCCTGGGAGTTCCCCTGGACGATTTCACTATGGAATCTGAGACTTTAAAAGCAAATATTATTTTTTTGCTTTTTTTTTTTTTTGTCACTACGCATTGCCTAAAGAAGTTTGTCGGCATTAGATGGAAATTTAACAGCTGGATAAAGCTATTTGAATCCAGGCCTTAGTGTTATGTTTGGATTCTAAACAGTGACTGACTTCTAATTGTGTAAAGTTTTAGGGATGAGTGAGTTATTTGTACCTTGGCAGCTGGTGTGTGAAGGTCTGGGCTCCTGGTGGTAAGCAAGGCCACGGGAGGCGTCTCAGGCCACAGGATAGGCCCGGGGTCTCTGCTGCCCTGGTGGACCATCCGGGCTAATGAAATGTCCTTCTCCCTGCGGAAGGAGGCCTACTTCCTGGAACCTGCAGGCAGTCAGAATGACCCATGACCCATGCACCCTCAGGGCAGCTGCCAGGAGAAGCAGGAAGCGGTGACCCTCAGGCCAGTCTGATGAGGGCCCTGCATTTTCTTCCTCACAGGGTGTCAAGGAAGAAGAAGTGCATTGGAGCGTCCCCTGTTCACCTGTGTGTGTGTGTCTGGGTCCCAAGAACAGGGCAGAGTACTTGCTTGTAGCACGACAACAAGAACCAAGAGAAAAGTTCTCCCCAACCTAGCGGGTGAGCCACTGCCCTGCTGTCCCCAGCCTAGAGGATTAGCCACTGCTCCCCGTCCCCAGCCTAGAGGGTGAAGCCTGAGATGCCACCCCCATCTCCTTCATACCCAGTCGGTTCTCCTTCATGTCTTAGAGACCGAAAGGGACCTGCCTGCCCAGTGTCCTCTGGGCAAGGGGTCCTGTTGTCCTTCCCTGTAGAGCAGAGCATATCAGAACTGGAGCCTCTGGATTGCCTCGTCCTGTCCAAATACTTCATTCCACTGACAAAGCCTTCGGAGAACCAGCAAGAGAGTTTCCCAAGCTCAGAAATTGAGTAGCTCAATGACACAGGTTCATGGCTTCCAACAACGCATCAGCCACCGCGTTAATTATTGGGAGACAGACTTGCTCCTGTTGAACGAAGAGCAAAATAGAGGCTATTTCTTGATGCTTAGATGGATCAGAAACTGCGCCAATTCTCACAGTAAGATTATCCATTTATTCCAATGAAAAGCTGAAGCTGAGAAGTAGGGTGCCTCAGGTCACCCAGTTACTAAGTGACAAGGAGGTTTGGCCCGTGTGTTGAGGACCTGAGGCCCTTGCCGAGAGCCAGTCGGGCAGGTAGTGACGCCTTTCCCAAGGTGGTTGCGTGGGGTTGGCACCGCGCTCCTGCCTGAGAAAGGCCTCAGTGATACAAACGGCTCAGGGCGCAGGAGATCTCTCTGACTGTCAGATGAGAGTTGAAGCTCCAGCCGCACACGCAGCCTGGGGCCTGCATCTTCCTCGGCAGCAGGCCAGGCCTGCCGTGATGGCGCCATGCTGACACACCTGTCCCAGGGCAAGACCAACACAGAGTGCTCTCCAGGGCCACCCTGGAGACACCCCGACTCAGCCCCGCTTCGAGCGCCTGCCTCCAGCCCCCCCTGCCTGGACAGCAGGCCTCAGAGCAGGACATGCTTCCGTGTGGCAGTCACATCCCTGAGTGGTACCTGCCCAGGCTGTGTGTGCCCCTGTCCTTGAATCCTAGGGTGTACATCATTTCCCCTGCCCCACCCCACCCAGCACCAAGGGAGGGGAAGGGAATCCAGCTCCCCTCACAGGGCCGGGCTGGGCACTCTGCAGCCCCCTTTCCTCCCTCCCCTGTCCTCCATGCTCTTCTGAGTCCCGGAAGCTGACTTCCAGAGCACTCTGGCCTGGGAAGACTGGCAGGGGCCTGGAGGGCAGGAAGAGTGGGGAGGCAGGACCAGTGTCCCCCAGGCTCTCCTGGGGCTGCAGGCAGCAGCTCCGTGTCTCCGCTGGTGGCCGTGGTGCAGAGGAGCCCTTCCTTACACAAAGCTCTCTCCACACCTCAGGGCAGCTGCCCTTCCTGGCTGCTGAGGGGAGACAGCGATGCGCACTCACCGACAGCAGCCCCAGGAGGCTTCCTCGTTGGTCGTGGTTCTCCCTGGTTCTGCCCACATATTCGTAAATATTTCCTTTATTTAAGTGCTTCTTCCTTCCCCCTGCAAGTGTGCCTTCTGCTGTGGTCTGACCACATAAGTCCATATCAAGTCTACGGCAGGGCGTTCTTCCCAAATCTACTGCTGATGGCTTAAACCATGGCAATGAAAACTACTTCTCTCAATCATTTGCCTCTGCTGGGATCCAGAAGACTCTCTGAACACCAGAAGCTGAAATATACCTACCATGAAAATGCGTAAGTTTCTGCCTCAGCAAGGTTTCCCGTCGTCCTTCCTGTCTGGGCAGCATTTGGCACGGGGCCCAGGCTCTTTCATGAGCTGGGGTGTCTGGGACACCACAGTCTCCCGGCGTCATGCTGCTCTCCAGAGTGACTGGACCGTTCTCTCCGGCTGAGGGCTTGGCGTCCTGTTATTTCTTCTACCTTACCTCATTTGGTTAAAGCAGACACAGGGTGTGAAACGTTGCTTGACTGCGTCTCCCACGGCACCCGTGGCAAAGGAACGACTGCTTCCCATGAGCCGTGGAGCTGCGTGTAGACTTGAGCCCTGTGGGAAGGCCCAGCAATAGCTGGTCAGATATGAAATGGCTGTTTACACCCGTCAAAGGCAGGGATGAGCACAGCTCCTGCTGTTATGTGGAGGCGTCATTGCCCAGCTCTACCTCGGACCTCCAGGAGGCCTTTCTGAGTGGGACGTGCAGTCTTGGGTGGTCAGAACTACAGAAACAGCCCTTGGCATTTTTGAAGCCATTTTGAATGGCTTGAATAAAATGGCTTCACATTTGAAACATTTGAAAAATAAAATGACTTCATGTTTGAAACATTATTGCAATAAACCATCTTGCCATCTGGCTGGATTCCACATGAACGTGTCAGTGGAAGAGAAACTGATAAAAGTGGAGACAGATCTTAGGCATCAATGTTTAGTGCTCCCCGGCTGTTTTCTAAGGCAAATTTGAGGCAGAGAAGGTTTTCTTTCTATCAGAGACAAGGAACTTCCCTACCAGCACAAAAATATTAATCTTGAAATGTCTTGAAATCTTCTAGAAAGGTTAAATTAAACCTCATATTTCAAAGTTTTCCGAAAGAGGATTCTGGGATTTCTTTTTTAGTAAGCAACATTCTTCTGGCTCTAAATGTAATTTTAGGAGAACAAATGGGAAGGTCTCTCCAGTTCCCTGCACCCTCTGTGTCACTCACGTTAGGGCTTACTGACGCGATCTTCCCTTCCTAACTTTGTTGTTACGTTCAAACAGATTTATTTGAAAAGATGAACGTTGACCAGTGATTAGCACATATTTTAAATAAGGCAAAAATTGTGGAAATCCTAATCCAATCATTTGCTTAGAATGAATCTGCATACATATGCTGGGTCAGCGACATTCTCATCCCATGTGAGTAACAGGGACGTGGACATGTGAGTAACTCACGCTGTCATCACGGACATCCCAGTTTCAGATCGCCTCACACATGCAGGCCGTCTGCGTTTGTAAATAACGGCCTTGCCTTCTCCGCATCTGAGCGAAGCCCTCCAGGCTGCTGTGCCGTCCCTGCCTCACCTCCTCCTGCGGCACTTGCCAAGGTCCACAGAATGACTCCACACAACTGAGCCCAGGGCCGGTTCTGTCTCATCTGACTCATCTACCAGGAGTGGGCAAAGTTACCCTTCTTTCTTCACCAGCTTCCAGGACCCCGTCCTCTCTTGCTTCTCGGCCTTCTCAGTCTCCTTTGCAGGTTCTCCCTCACTTTCCTGACCTCCAGATCCCGGGCACAGCCACGCAGTGTCCCACGCTGCTCCTCCACCAGCGGCCCTCACGCTCCCGGTGGTGGTGGTCTCTCAGCCGCAGGACAGTTCACCTGCTGCTCATCTCCCTTTCCTCAGATGCCTCTTCCAGCGGCTCTTCAACGCTTCTGTTTGGCTGCAGGGCGGGCGTCTCAGGCCAGGCATCACTTGGCCAAAATGTGCCCCCATACTCCAGTAGCAAGTAAGACCACCTCATGCTAATGTCCAGTGGTGATCTGTGCTTCGTAGAAAATCACGGTGGGGGAGGGGCGTGGGAGCGGGGGTTAGGCAGGGACAGCTCTGAGATGAGGGGCATTGCAGCAGAGAGGCAGAGTGAAGGGAGAGCCACACGCACGGTGGGTGTCAGAAGGAAGAGCTGTCTAGGCAGGGTGGGCGTCAGGAGTCGGGAGCCAGTTGGAGCGAGTGTGGAGCAAGCTCTATGCATACGGGGCTGTGATTTCTCCAGGCTGCATCTCCAGAGCCTGGAGCTCCTACTTCAAGCAAGGGTCTCAGTGAAAGCCACCTGGGGAATCAATAAGAAACTGAGTTACTTTCACATCTATAATCATAGACAAAAACAAATCAATTAATCCTCCTACATACTAAGCTGGTCTCTATAACTCCTTGTTTCCTGTGCTTCTGCTGTAAAACAGAAAGAATGTCCTTCATGAGCATGACAGTTATTACAAGCGATTCAAACACAGATTTGAAGAAATGTGAAATATACTTTTCTCTGCTAAGGAGCTCTGTTAGGAATATGAGCAACTGCAATAGCATCAATGTTTCTATACCCGCGGAATTCAAGGCAGCAGTTCTACACATGGAATAAAATTTAAAATTCCCTTCCTCTGCTGCACTCACCACACATCAAGCACTTTGCGGCCATGTGTGGGTAGGGGACATGTGTCTGCATGGGGCAGAACAGACACAGAAATGTTCCTTCATACAGAAAGCTCAGGGCTAAACCCTCAATCACCAGGAATTAGTCTCTTACTCCTTGGGGGATAAGCTGGGATTGTTAAATGCAAAGAGAAATAATTTATCTTCTTTAAATACAGTTCCATGGTGATAAAAATCAGCAGATTCATAAAAAAAGTATTTCAATAAACCCTCCTGCCATCTGGCTGGATTCAACATGAATGTGTGCATGGAGGGGAAACGGCTAAAACTGAGCAAGACGGATCTTGGGCGTCAATGTTTGGGGCTTCCGTTAAACACTTCCCATAGCGCTTGTTGCCTGAGGTGCCTGCTTTCCAGCTGTGGGCAGCAGTGAAACTGCATGAGCATCAGCGTGAGAGCATGGAGCTACAAACCGCATCAGCGCCCATGGCAGTCACAAAACTGTGGTGCAGGACGAAGCCACCAGAAGTAGGATTGGGTGCACGTGTTTTTTCCCTCCCAAAATGTATGGGAAGCTGAGGTTCCCTGATTCTCTCAGCTCAGTGATTTCCAAGACCTGGAAGACTCGCAGGTGGCCCCACACTCTTATTTTACAGTGGCCCCAGCCCACAGGTTGGGCTCAAGCCTGTGGCCGGCACCCTCACCCACAGCCCTGTGCTCCTTCAACCAGGAAACGCGCTGCCAGGTCCTGCTGAGGGGCGGGAGGTGGGAAGGGAGAGAAAGAAGTTGCAGCCAGTGCACAGCAGTGACATTTACCCAGAGGAAGAAAACTGAAAGTGGAGTTGATTGACTCTTTCATCTTTATACACCTAAAATCTCACAGGAAAAAAGCAAGCAGTATCACATTGTCGTGGAGACTGAGTATCGTAAAGGTAGCAACTGTAGCTTTAATTCGCATTTTCTGGGCTACAGAATTCAAATCGGTGCTGCACTCACTGCGTTCACCTGGGACAGAAGCAAGGACAGGCCCCTCGCCAAGCCGTGCTGCCTGTTCGCACACATGCAGCAGAAATGGCATTTTGAATAAATGGTTTTTATTCAGGTAGTTATTGAAAAATAACCTCCCTATCACAACACCTCCCTAGTGGGTAATTGACAAGTGCTCACTTTTTCATGCAAAACTCAGACAAACTACAGCACGTGCATGGAAACATACAGCATGCTTCCTTCCCTAAGATGCTTAACTGTTCATTGAAAGGAAGGGTGACCTTTGGCTATGTGAATGCCTTTAAAAACTTTTTAAAAGACCAAATTATGTTGAGACCAGTTAAACCACTGATTTTCCTAGCTGTATTCTCAGAAAGATCTATGATATTTGAGAACACAATAAGACTCCACCTCAAACTCACAGTCCCCAGAATCCTTAAAACTCTTAAGATAACATAATAGTTCATTTGGCTGACGCCAGGGGGCTGGGGGGAAGAATACTTTCTGCTGGAAAGACAAAGAATTGAATTAAAATGTGAGATGGTGACTGTTTTCTGTGAAATTAGCACACTTTTTTATTTACTGGGAAGACGGACCACTGGAATCCAGCTTAACAGTGAAAAGAATCTCCAGCCCAATAAGATGTCACACTGAAGTGAGCAGAGAAACACTCTCACTTGGAGCCTGCCAAGATTGGAGAAGGCTGAGGGTCGTCAGATGCTGCCTTCTCTGCTTTGCTGTCTGCTGTGGGTCACATTGGGTCCCCACAAAAGGCATTTGGGAGTCACCCCAGCACCTCAGGATGAGAACTTATCCGGATAGGGCCTTTGCAGTTAGAGTCAGTTAGGAGGAGGTCACGCTGGAGTAGGAAGGGTCCTGCATCCAGTATGACCGAGTCCTTATAAGAAGAGAAGAAAGACCCAAAGGGAGATGAAAACAGAGACACACGGAGGGGATGCAACGTGCAAACAGAGACCAAGGCCGGAGCATAGCCAGGGAACACAGAGGCTGGACCACTATGGCCAGAGGCTGGGAAGGACAAGGGAGGACCCTGCCCGGAGTCCCAAGTCCCAGTGGACAACTTGATTTCAAAGATCAGGAGGCTCATATAAAAATGACTATTTAAGGTGGTAAGAGTTGGGTTTTTTTCTTTTCTCTGCTCTTCCATAAATTTTTGTTAGGGTTGGTTTAAAAACATGCAAAATTCCTAGGTTAGAAGGGTTTTCATATTTGATTAACCATAGTATTGCTTCAGAACTCCTGAAACAGCTACTTCTCCTGACACTGGTAGTAAAGGCAACATCTGCAGGCTCTTCCAGCACAGTCAAGAGCTACTCCTCACCCGGGTGACTCCGTGTTGCAGCATCTCCTTAAACTGTGCACCACAGGCAGGCACTTCAGCTCCTCTCCCTCACCCCAGCCCTGTCTGAAAGCATCACTCCACAACTTTCTTGGGTTTACTTTTGTTTGAAAGCCAGCTGGGGAAGGCACTGTACCTAAAGGTAGTCCATCTGCCATCACAGCTGTTTAGAAGTTTCATCTGTCTTTGGTTTTCTGTAGTTTCAGTCTAATGCACCCAGCTATGAATTTCCTTTCACTTAATCCCACTTGGGACATACCAGATTTGTTTATTCTATACTTCACTGTTCTGTATTAGTTCTGGGAAATTATCATACATTACCTTTTCAACTACTTTTCCTTCTTCATTCTTGTTCTTTTCTCTTTTTAAGACTCAAGCATGTGTTAAACTTTCACATTGTGTACGCTATGTCTCCTACTATTACTTCTGAGGTTTTCATTTTTCATCTCTCCATGATGATTTTTAGGTTTACTTCTGAACAGTCTCCCAGTTCACTAATTCTCTCTTTAGCTGTATCTATTCTGATCTTAAATCTATCCAGTGACTTCTTAATTGAGTTATTTTTTTTTCTGAATTTTTAAAAATTTCTGTTTTGCTTTTTGGATTTCCAATTCCCTGCCCATCTTTTAAAGTTTTGCTTAATCTCTGATTACATACTAAATATAATGCATGCCTCATCTATTGGTTTCAGTATCTGGAGTCATTGTCGTTCTGTTTTCGGAAATCTCTTATTTCTGCTTCATCTCACTTAATGGTGTTTGGTCTCCTTTTATCTGGCCATCTTCTACTATGTCCTGGCACAGTAATTTTTTAATTTTTTGACTATATAATTTGAGGCCTGGGATGTCATCTTCTTCCTTTTGGGAAGATTTTTATTTGCCTCTGTAGCTCTCTGGGTGGAGTAGCAGTATGAAACTTCAAAACTCATTCTCTCTCCCTCCACATTAGAGACAGGATCGAAGACTGATACTTTAATCTATGTTTTGTGCAAGCAGAAAAGTGTTCTTCAGGAGATGAGTGGCGACCATGAACAGCCAGGAAATCAATGGATAAAATGTGCTTTCACTGCATAGTTCATACACATTACTTCAACCATAAAATTTGACAGCTTGTAAATAATGGCCTGAGAAATCCAGAGAGGAGAGAGGTAATATTAATTTAGAGGCTGTTTCTAGTCTTCAGCTGTACCCCCAAGTCCCTGTTTCCCAGCCTATACCAGCAATCCATGGATATTTATTTCAATTCTCTTTCACTTTCCTCAATTTCAAAATGACAGAAGAGTTATAACCCAAATGTCCAATTATTTTAGGAAGTATATAGAATGGAGAGCAAGTTTACATCTTTTTCAAATCAATAAAACTAGCTTATATTTTAGCAAGGACAAAACTATCTCATTTAGCATGAGATAGTAATCAGTAACCAGACATTCAGTAAGTACTTACATGCTAAACCAGCGTTTAAAGTAGTCTGACCCTAAAATAACTCATGAATTGTCTTGGATAGTGAACTTGGAGAAACACCATAATGCATTTTTATCATTATTGTAAAATATAAAACAATCGATCTTTTTTTGTGTAAAACACTGAGTATAAACACACATGAGGGAATCTGTGGGGATCGCTCCCGCGTGAGGCCCCTGGGAAATGGGCCTCATCATACGGTGAGCTTGAGCCCGGACACAGATCCCCAGTTGGGGGAGTCGAGCTGAGGGAAAGCAGGAACCGAGAGAGGAACTATATGTTATTCAAAATAATTAACAGACATTACTTTATGGATATCAGGACTTGGGAGGCAATGTGTCCACTTTCGGCTTCTTATGGTTTATTGTCTCATCGTGTTCATTTTGGACCCTTGTTACCTTTATTGTAAAATATTAACTTAAATATTTACACTTGGTAACTTACTTACCGTAACTTACAGGGCGTAACTGTAACTTACTTACCATAGCTTATAGGGCGTGACTGTAATCTACTTACCTTGACCTATTGGGCGTAACCTACTTACTGGAAGTAACCTACTTACTGGGCGTAACTGACTTACTGGACTTAACTTACTTACTGGGCGTAACTTAGTGGGCGTAACTTGCTTACTGTAACTTAAGTATGTTAATCTGGCGTAAACAACTTTAACTTCAGAAAAGTATATAATGAAACACATTGCAAAAATAAAATTGCTGCATGAGCATAGTGCATGTAGCCCTCCAGACCTCGCCTTTTCTATCTCTTTTTTTTCCAGCGCACGCTCTCTTCCAGGTTTGGGACCCTCTCGCTGGACGAGATTCCCGGGCTCACGTTCAGTTCACAACACACACATTCCAGAAAAGTATCAAAAACAATAATTACAAATTCTTATTCACTTCTGTTTGGGGATTCACTGCATAAGCCTGCCACAAAGAAGTACAAATACTGTTTTTCCCTGAAGCTATCAAAGTAAACGTCAATCTAATAGAAAAATCCATCAGCCTATGCTGTGGGGCAGCACCCTCCAGGATTCCTTTCAAATGCGGACCTTGAGTACCTGGGTCTGGGGTGGGGCCCAAGATTCAGCACTTCTCAGAAGCTTCCTGGCAGGGCCCATGCTGCAGGGCGTGGAGTATTTCATCTTCGAGATGGAAAGCTCTGGTGGACAACCCGTGGATAACATCAAGGTGATGTGAGAAAAGTTCTGTAACAGTGCAAATAAAAAAGAACCGTCAACCACATGCCAATCATCTCTTTAAATATAAGCAAACATGAGTCTACATAAGTTAGGTAAGACATAGGTTTTGTTCAACATTGCCCTTTTATCAGTATTTTCTATCCTTGCAAGTCACTATCCAGTTGGCACATAAAACACGTTTTTTCAGATGGTTTTATTGAGCGAAGAATTTCAGTTTTTGCGAGAGCGTTTCATGGAGGGCAGGAAGAATGGTAGAGAACACAGCCTCAAGCAAAAGCCCTTGGTAAGTGCGGATCTCATCAAGAGGATGAAAGAGTTTTGTGTGTGTGTGTGCACGTGTGTACAGGTGGGCATGTATGCAGGTGTATGTGAATGCACATGTACATGTGTGTACATGTGTTTGTGTATATATGCATGTTTATATGTGGGTTCGTGTGTATGCACGTCTGTGTGTGCACGTGTGTACAGGTGGGCATGCATGCAGGTGTATGTGAATGCACATGTACATGTGTGTACATGTGTTTGTGTATATATGCATGTTTATATGTGTGTTCGTGTGTATGCACGTCTGTGTGTGTGTGCACGTGTGTACAGGTGGGCGTGTATGCAGGTGTATGTGAATGCACATGTACATGTGTGTTCATGTGTTTGTGTATATATGCATGTTTATATGTGTGTTCGTGTGTATGCACGTCTGTGTGTGCATGTGTGTACAGGTGGGCATGCATGCAGGTGTATGTGAATGCACATGTACATGTGTGTACATGTGTTTGTGTATATATGCATGTTTATATGTGTGTTCGTGTGTATGCACGTCTGTGTGTGTGTGCACGTGTGTACAGGTGGGCGTGTATGCAGGTGTATGTGAATGCACATGTACATGTGTGTTCATGTGTTTGTGTATATATGCATGTTTATATGTGTGTTCGTGTGTGTGTGTGTGTGTGTGTGTGCAAGTGCTGTACCCCTGAGGCTATGAGAAGGCTAAATCAAAAATGTGCTCCAATGTCAAGCAGCAAAAATGTATATGTAGAGAGAGAAAAACCAGCTGTCCTCACAGGTAATACTACATCTGTTCCAACGACGTATTTCTTATTTTCAAGTGTTAAATTTCATGATAAAACATGCTTTCTTTCATTCCAGTTTGTAATTCATTTAAAATGGAGGACTCGTAACTACAAATAGTAAATTATCTAGAGGAGAGAAGGGAAAACAGGGGAAGGGAGGAAGAGAAACCATGTAAGTCTTAGAGTGGATGTTTGGCTACTATTTTTTCTAATTCTCAAAGGAAATGCATCTTTATTTTATTGTTATACAAAGAGGCCCAGAGTCAAGTAACTCTTCAGCTCTAAAGTCTTTCCCCTGAACCTCTTGGAGAAATTATTTCAAACGCCCTTGGGCAGCAATATGAAAGATAATGCTCAGGTTATGTTGCAAACAAATCTCTATTTAAAAAATGAGCCATATTCCTCCCTCCACATTGCTGTTCGTTGTCTTTAATGCATTCAAGGGTTCTTGGGAAGATTGAGAAATAGGCATAGAAACAACCTAATAATACAGAGAAGTCAGCATTTTTATTGTATTTTTGAAGAACACAATAATTCCTCCATATAACCTGGCTTTTGACTGGAAGATAATAGGCATTTCATCTTTAAGAAATTTGAGAAGATTGGGTTAACAACTCATGGTTGGCAAGGCATCCTGAAAGTTCACTGACTCCCACAGCTTCCCTCGACTTAGTGATGAAACACTGTCATTCTCCACCTTACGTTGTTTCACGCTCTTTCATTTTTGCTTCACCTGTAAATAAACATGCAATTTGCCAGAATTAGTGAAGCCAAGGACACGGTGGTGTTTAACGTCCTTGGGCATCTGTCAAGCCCACACTAATTCCAAAGAGGCAGCCTTACTTTGTAAACACTTAATTTTAAGTAAATTACAGGAGGAAGGAGAACAACGATGTCTGCTGCTCTTCATTTCTCCCCAGCACCCATCATCCTGAAGGGTTTCTTTAGCATTTTGGTAATGCAGGCCTCTGTCTAGGAATACATCAGCCTTCACCGATGCTAAAAGGTCTTTTTTTCAGCTTTTCTTTGAAGGAGGTTTTTGTTTCATACAGCATTGCCGTGGCTTGACAGGTTTCTGGGGTTTTTCTTTCATAGCTATAAAAATGCCCTTCTGTTGTTTCTGGTCTCTGTTGCATTTTGTGTGGGGGTCCGCATAGACCCCTGCACGTGTGGATTTTTCCCTTACTTCTTTTTTAGCAGTTTGACTACAGTGTGCCCAGGAATGGTTGTGTTTTTGTTTTGTTTACTCCTGCTTGGAGTTTGATTAGAATCTTGAATATGAAAGTTGTTTTCCATCAACTTAGACAAGTATCTGGTCATTATTTGGCCTATCTGACCAAAAAAAAAAAAAAAAACAAAGGTGACGCCCAGTATCACTGGCTTCTCCTCTGGACCTCCAATTCCGTGCATGTCAAGCCATTTGCTATTATCCATAGGTCCTGAGGCTCCACCCCTTTTCCTTCCTTCTCTCCGTTCTTCTCGCAGGATGACATCTGTTGGTATCTTCAAATTAACAACTCTTCCTTCTGATATTCCTTACCTGCCACCAAGCCTGTCTAGCGAATTTCTCATTGCAGTTATTATAAGTTTCATAAATTCCATCTGGTTCTTTATTAGTTCCATTGCTAAGATTCTCAATCTGTTCACTTGTTAACACTGTATTTTCCTTCAGTTCTTACACCGAGTTGTAAAAACTGCTTCAAGATTTTTGCCAAGTGCAACATCTGAGCCATCCCAGGACTGATTTCTTTTGACTGCTTTTTCTCTTGACTGTGAATCTCATTTTCCTGTTTCTCAGTTGTCTGGTGATTTTTTTCCACTGATACTGGACTTGGTGAATAAAATGCTGTAGAGACTCTGGATTTTGGTACCTTCCTCTTTCCATTACTGACTCCCATCAGTAATGGGAGCAGGCAGTTCAATCCCTGAATGATCTCCATGAATGAGTGCTTATCTCTGGAAGTCCAAAGTGCTTCCCAAGCCCCTCCAACTTTGCCACACTCACCTTACAGCCTCTGTATCCCTTGTGTGTCTTTACAGAGTTTGGTATTGGGTTTCGTTGGGGCAGGACTAGGGTGGTCTTACACTACAACTGACCCCACCACCTAAGGCAGCCTGTCTGGAGTCTCATCTGGACACCACAGATGTTCAAGTGGCATTCAGCTCTCTCCACCCTGGCAGGGCAGTAACTCTGACAGCACTCCCCTGCTCAACCTCCAGGCTTTCTGCTTAACTCTCAACCCCCTGCCAGCTTCTATCGATAAGCCTTGGTTATTGCTGCCTTGCTCACAGGCATCCCTGCCCTCAGCCACAGACCATCTTGTTGCATGGCTCTCTGCTCTCTACTCTTAGACCCTATGGATTCCTGCTACTTCAGGTACGTCGAACTTGACCTCTGCTTTCCCAGCTCACAGGGACCACCATACTCTCCCTGGGATCCAGCCTCCTTCTCCTTGGCCAGGAAATTGTTTGCAGGCAGAGACCAGGGCAGAGACTCAGCTCTAGAATTTCCCTTCACAGGTCCTGAGGGAACCTGTTGTCTGCCACTGGAAAACCTGCCTCATGCATTTTGTCAGCTTTTACAGGTGTTTATTGCTGGGCACTGCTTTAATACCAGCTTCTCCACCACAGACAGCTGCCCATCTTTGCTGATCTGCATGCATCTAACAGTATTTGTTGAGTATATTCAATGTGCTGGGCACAAGGCACAGCGTGAGCCAAATGTGATGAGCCCTGCCCTCCTGGAGCAGACAGTCCATGGGAAAAAGGGGACACGAGACAAATAACCACAAATCTAACTCTGTAGTTAAATTATGATAGATGTTGTGTGCTGAAAGTAGAGGGCGTAATGGGAAAACAGCACTGGGCACCCTAATGTAGCCCGGGGAGGAAGCCTCTTTAAACATGTGACTTGGGAGACAAGTCACATGGATGGAAGGCTGGGGGGTCTTAGGAGAAGTGAATGCTCACAAGGGACTCACACAAAGAGCAGGTGGGGAGGGGGCCCTGCAGCAGAAGTGAATGGAGAGTCCTTGGCTGGAGGCAGAAGCTGAAGATGAAGCTGGAAAGGCAGCAGACCCTCAAAGATCAGAGGTCGCACCTGTGGCGAAATGGAATCCCACAGAGACATTTCCAGCAAAAAGATCAAGTTCAGAAACGTATTCTTATAAGTAGGTGCCAAAATTCCAGCAGGTGCTGATACATCTGTCATGGCTGAGCCTTCAGGAGAGAAGGAATAAAGATGCCTTTGAGAGAGCACAGAGCCAGCTGAGGGCCTTTGCCCTCTCAAATCTTCAGATGACAAAATCTTACCTAGAAAATCATTTTAAACCTACGAGTTAGGTCCTTGCCCTCTAATATGTTTGTTTAATTTTAGGTAGCTAGGACTGACCGAGTGAAGAAATGAGAGTTAGGTGGAGTGGGCTGGTACACTGGAGGGTGTCATGACAAATGTGACGTCGGCATTAGTGATTAAGAGCAAAGAGGACAAGGATGGCCTGCAGGAAGGGGGCTCTGGGTGCAAGGGACCAGCCTCATGCAATTACTGGAACTATTTCTAGAATTGTTTTTAGATTCCTGACGTAAACGTATTGGGGTCTCCTTATGTTAATCTTTTCAATTTAAGCCTAAACATTTTAAAGTCATTAAACGGAAAGTTCCAAAAACAGCACTTACAAACTCATATTTTAGGTCAGTCCTTCATGTGGTCGCCATATTGTTTATTTCCAGCTACTCTACTGAGGTGATTTTTCCCAGTATAGACAAATACTGATCAGTCTGGTCAATTTTGTCTCAGTCATCCAGTAATTAATTTTTTTTTGGCAAAAGGGAATTAATATTCATATGCATGTCATATTTTTCCAAACTCTTGCAAAAGGAGCCATACTAATTAAAATTTTAAAGAGATTCTGATACAGTAAAAGCATGCATCTTTTCTGTGTAAGATACCAACGAAGATGCATATCACGGCATGTGTGCACACGTGTGTGTGCACACGTGTGTGCACATGCATGTGCGTGTGTGCACGCATGTGTGTGCATGTGTGTATGTGCGTGCATGTATGCCTGTGTGTGCACATGTGTGTGCAGGTGTGTGTCACTGTGCGCATCTGTGTACATGCATGTGCATG